CCCAGAGGCTGGCTCCCAGCCAGTGAGGGAGGGGAGGTGAATTGGGACTCACACCCTCCTAATGGCAGCGGCACTCACCACCCGAGCAGCAGGCTGTGTGAGTGGCAGGTGTCCAGAGGTCCCCACGGTCCCTAGGACAAAGCCAGATGACAGGGCGCTCCACTCACTCACCCACAGCACCAGCGTCTGGGGGTTCCGGAAGCTCCCGTGGAGTGTCTGCTGGTCCTCAAAGCAGCACTGAGGCGAGCATCCTGTTGCCCCTTCACCAAAGAGAGTGGGGCTCGCAGGAAACTGACTGCCCGCGGTCACACGAGGGCAGAGCTGGCAATGGCTGGCGGGACACTGCCTCCTTCCAGAGCCCTGTGAAGACAGACCCAGTGTCCCCTACATCGGACACAGAGGACACCACCAGGGAGACCACCCAGGGTTAAAGAGGTGTGGGGACACCAGTGCCCACCTGGTGGGCCTCCTTGCAAAGGTGGCAGGTGGTGTGGCGCCATTTCCTGGGCACAGGTGAATAAGGCAGCAGCCTTGCCCAGCAGCCGGCCCCTCTCCTTCACTCACCAAGGTCAGCCTGCCTTGCAGCAGGTGGGGATGGGTCGGCCACACAGGAGGCTCTGTGCTCACCGCTGGGCTGCGTGGCAACACGGAGCTGCTGAGATCTGGGAATGGGGCAGCCCGACTGCGGACTCCCATCTTTTTTTTTTTTTTTAACATATTTTAAAAATTTATTTCAGAGAGGAAGGGAGAGAGACAGAAACATCATGATGAGAGAGAATCATTGATCAGCTGTTCCTGCACACCCCCTACTGGGGATCAAGCCCACAACTCCAGCATGTGCCCTGACCGGGAATTGAACTGCGATCTCCTGGTTCATAGGTCAACGCTCAACCACTGAGCCATGCTGGCCTGGCCAGACCCATATCTTTGATTTGCTTTAATTTAATTAATTTTGTTTTCAGTAGCCAACAAGGGCTGTTCATGGTGAGGAGTCTAGAAGGTTTGGGGAAGGGATGGGCAGGGCCTGGGTGGTGGTGGTGGTGGTCACAGGTCAAGGGAGGCCTTTGTGGGGGATGAACAGTGACGTCAGAGGTGCAGCAGGCAGAGGGTCCCAGGAGCACACAGGCTGGAGGCGGGAACCTGTGGGACAGCCCAGAGGCCAGGGGGCTGCAGCAGGGGACAGACAGATGGCCAGCCAGGTAGGGCCACGGCCACTCACTCTGGTGGGAGTGCCGCAGGTGAGGGAGGAGCTGGTCAGGAGCCCAGGCCACCAGGCTGACGTTCAGACCAGGAAGGACCCAGAGCCTCAGGCTCTGGCCGGGCCTTCAGAGTCTGCCTGCAAGGTCTGCTGACTGAGCGGAGGTGCTTCTGAGAAAGAGGGGTGTCAGGTGAGGGGTGCCGGGGAGGGGGCTCTGTTCCTGCAAAAGAGAAGTGGGTGGGAGAAGGACTAGG